ATCTAGTCGGAGAAGATGAAGATCACCGGGAAAATGGATCTACCGGCTATTGAGGGTCTTGCCTGTCTATCTTCCTCGCCACACACACACTATCACCGGGAAGATGAAGATCACCGGGAAAAGTATATGGTTGTAGCAAATGATAAAGTATATGAGGAGATGTAAAGGGTGAGATACCCAAGGAGGAATAGTTGGGGCAAAACCATGGGTATGAAAAACCAGGGAGCAAAACCATGGGGAATAGTTGGGTATTTTGATTTAAAAAAAAATGGTATGTCTTTTGGAAGATTTGGTGTAACATAGGATGTAATTTATATTCATGTGTTAAAAGTATATGATAGTTTACAAATGGTTTAAATGATTGGATATTTCAGTTAAATGTAATTGAAATGAATTAATTCAGATTTCAGACTTCAGAAGTTTGTCAATTTATAAAAACAAACAGTCTTATTGATTCAGATTTCAGATTTCAGATGTAAAAACAAACAGTCTGACTGATTCAGATTTCAGATTTCAGACTTCAGCATCACCTCTTAAAATTCAGAAGTAAATTCAGACTTCAGACTTCAGCACCTCTTAAAAAACAAACACCACCTAAGAGAAAAGGCGGACTCTGAACCTACGGGAATTGAGATTGTTTTTTGTTTCCAAAAATAAAATAGATCAATTTTTTTCAAAATTTTGAACATCATTTGCGAGCATGTTGCTACAAAGTTAGTATGCACATACATATTTAGCGGAAACGAGAAATGAATAAGAGTTGAAGTCACAAAATGTAGCGAGAAACCGAGAATTGTGAACGTTTTTTTTGCGAATTGAGAACTTGGTATGTAAACCTCTCAACTAAGACACTTATATATAGTGTTCACAATGCAAAAAATACAAAGAAAAGGGCCAAAAAACAATCATAAACGGCTAGTTTTTTAAAAAATAAAGGCTACATTTTTTTTTAAATGGGCCCGGTTCAAACTGGTCCATTACCGGTCCCGGTCGGTCTCGGTCCCGCAAAACACCCCAAATCATGAACCGGTCCCGATTACCRGTCCTATAACCAGTCATTACCAGTCTTGGGTCAGGTTGGTCCTTTACCAGTCCCGATTGCGGTCCTCCTACAGTCCCGGACCAGACCGAGCCGGTTTAACCATCACTAATTTTAACCTACAAACGCTTTTAGATTTGTTTTATTGAGAAAATATAAGAAAATCTCTAAAAAATATTAGTTAGAAGAGAAAAGTTTGTTTTTTATTATTTTTATCGATAAAGTTTAAAATTTAATATCTATGTGAGATAAATAATGTTTATATATATATATATATATATATATATATGGTTGGGTTCACGTAAGACCAGTTTTTTTTCGTGAGACCCATGAGACCACCTTTTTACGCTTGAAACTTCACAGCAAAAACACTGTGAAGGTAAAAAAATCCAAACCTTCACAGCAAAAATACTGTGAAAGTCACCTTCACAGCATTTTACTGTAAAGTTTCAAATGTAAAAAAATAGTCTCACAAAAACAGGTTAGTCTCACATGATCTCAAGTCTCTCTCTATATATATATATAGAGAGAGAGAGAGAGAGAGAGAGAGTTGGGTTCACATGAGACTAGTCTGTCTTTATGAGACCCGTTAGATCACCTTTTTACACTTGAAACTTCACAGCAAAAACACTATAAAGGTAAAAAAAATTGAACCTTCACAACAAAAACACTGTAAAGGTTACCTTCACGGCATTTTACTGTAAAGTTTCAAGTGTAAAAATATGGTCTTACAAGTTTCATGAAAACAGGTTGGTCTCACATGATCCCAAGTCTATATATATATAATATTCTAATAATATAATTAACATCGGTAATCTCTAAACCGGAGAAGGTCTTAGAATTGAATATTATTCCTTTTTGGAGATCTAAATTTTTGACTCTACATTTAAAGAATCGGACAAAAATGCCCTTAAATAATCTATTATTTTCTCTATTTTCGATAATCTGTTGAAAATGCTCTCACAAATATGAAGACCGTAGGCAAGGGTAACCACAAGATCAATGATGATAGATGACAAATCAACTCACGAGATGAATATGATAGGATCGGCAAATTAGGACGAGTTAAAGGCCAGAAAAGGCCCGGTTTTTGCCCACCTCTACAGTAACGGAGTCCCGAGTACCAAATATATCTAGAGATTAGACATGTTTATCTTACACATTTTACAAGATTGAGACTTTTTAGATATATAACCTTAAATGAGATTCTAATCAAGTCCAGGACCTTCTCAAGAGTACAAAGCCATTCATTCGTATACGCGCCAGAAGGTTTGAATTTAATTAAAAACTCATTTGAAGTCACATATTTGAATGACCCAAATATATCTCCAGAATCCAAATTCAAGAGGATCTTCGAAAATAATACCTGCAAATCATAAATAAAAATCGTGTGAATCATACTATTCTCGACATTCAATAACACTATCATTTTATGGGTGCGGTTTATATGAACTGCGAAACTGAAGATATGATTCAAAATCATGTGTGATGTGAGAGGATATAAACACAAAACTAAAGATCGAGAATGAATAGAAAAACTATACGAACGATATAAAAATTACGTACTTTTGAATTTATATATTGCCCAGTCGTCGTTTGAATAATTGCATGCTCTTGCAAACAAAATCAATATTTGTGGTTTATGGCAACAATCTAAGTAATTATAGTAACCGTGGGTGTTTGGCCCGTTTATATGCACCTAGACTAATCTAAAGAAAATTGAACGGTGCTGATCCGAGAAACAAACCCAAAGTCTGGTTAGTTTGAAGTCGAGACTGACCCATTCGAAAGTCAAAAAGTCAAATTTGGATTCTATTTTTGAAATAGTGGAAGCAAGGAAGGCTACACGATGGAAATGAACAAAAGATGCCAAAACAATACTTATGGAAGCCATCACTTCTTTTTGTGGAAGGACTTACACGTAAATTTTTATGCCGTATAAAGCAGCGTATTTCCTAAGAAGTCGCTCAACTGAGTACCACTCTGATCGGTCTGAAGCATCCTGATAACCAATTCGTGGCATGTGGATCGAAGCTATTGTAATTCCAGAAAAGAGAACACAATAAGATAACAATATGAGATGGAAGATCATAATTTACACAAATCAACAGAGATCTAGCAATCAGAAGCCACAACCTCACAGAGAGAAGATGAGTTCAAGTGTTGACCATACATACCAAAATTTCGAGCAGCTGAAAATGAAGCTTTTGACAGGCACTGTTCCAGTTCAGGAATAGAGATACCGCTACGTGGCACTTTACGCCTGGGATTATATGTTTGCACCACAGCTAGAGCTACCCACAGACGAGTATCAGCAACTTTATTCTCCTCGTCATCACCTTCTGCACACAGAGGCATATGCAGATAACCTTTACTTATTGTTTGCTAAAGTCAAAATACCTTAGATGGCCTTCAATTAATGACATAATATAAATAAATAGTCATCATGACGATGGATAAAGGTGTAATCCTAACTTCAAGATTCCCAACAAAGGGAATGTTGCAAATTTCATGAGCATGACAAGATTGAAATTGTAGCGAGGAGTGTCCCAAGTGATTGTGCAAATTGTGAATCATATATTAATTTATAGACGACAAAAGAAAAAAGGTGCACGAGTACACAGAACTATTTTGTTGTGATAGCTGTGACCTCATGTTTGTCAACCATAACCTAGTTTTATCAAACATGACTAGTTTATAAGCAAACAACTAGCTTATTAGCCAACAGCTAGTTTTTCAGCTAACAGTTAGTTTATCAGCTAGTTTGCCAAACATTGCCTTACCGAACTTCTTTAGTGCCAATATTTGGTCCAGAGTGCACCAAAAGAAGAAAATGGTTGTCACATAAAAACTTGTCAATACTATGCTAGGTCCACAGTGTTGAACAAACAGGACACTCTTAAACAAGCGCATTAATCAAAACCTTAAACATTAAGATGCAGACCTGTAACTTCTATAAGATGAAGATCACCCAGATGAAGGTCCCCAAATTCAGAAGCTCGTTCATATGCACTTGGAATTCGCGATGAAAGTTTAGCTAGTGCACCAAACATACCACCATGACCCCAGTTCCCAGAATCATCAACACAACTGCAAGAGATTATACTCTGTATGTATGAGTAGCAAGATAAATGTATTTCAAAGCTGTTTTTTTCGAAACAAATGAAGCTCAACAATGCATCCCCGCAGCTATGAAGTCAGGCCTTCGTTGCTAACAAACTTTTTGTGTTCAGAAAAAGAGAATAAACTAAATCAAACGTGCCCAATATATCCCGCACAGAGGTGGAGTCTGAAGGTGGGATGTATGCAGACATGTTCTCTACCCAGAGAGTAGAGCGGTTGTTTCCATGACAAGATAAAAAGAATGAGAGATGATATTGGAACTATTGTTTTGTTTCAGTGAAAAGATGTATATTCACCTGACTGATTCAAACTTTAACAACTTATAAGAAGACAGGGTTTATATCCATTGGAATTTACTGGTACTGTCAAATAGATAAAGCTTTCAAACAGATATAGCGGCTATGCTAATCATGATCAATCAGACTGTATTTCATCCCAAAAGCTATCCAAGAGAGACATTACAATCTACATTTATGTAGCACAAGACTCGCTAAAATCAAAAGCGGCTATATTTCTAATGCTTACTGTTAGACAAACATGGAATAAGTGAAAACATAAACAACACCAAGATTGTGGGGGGAAACATGAGAGAGGTATTCATTGCAAAGAATCTAGGGATTACGCGGATGTAAAATGACTCATGAAACCCTAGCAAAGCTAACGATGCAAACATATATACCTACAATAGTTGGGATAAGAATTAGGTCCAAGCCCTCTGCAAATTTTCTGGGGCAAGTTATAAGACATATCCCATTGCTTGAATTCATAACATATTCAATACTTATAGAACGCTCATAATAGATGACAATCTAAACAAGTAATCTGCATACACCTAGCATTTTAATAAAAGAAAATATGAAACCAAAAGGCAAAATACAGTAACAAACTATTGAAAATGATAATATATGAATTACAACCTCAAATAACAAGACTGACGAGGGAAGAGACATGGAAAGAAAGGTGCATGATTGTATCTCATATGTTACCAACACTCTTAGAGATAAAAACAAGGAAAGTAATTACCTGAATATTATAGAAGACTCTGATGGTGAAACTTTAGATGGCTGTGTGCAGTCTCCATAAACAAAATGTACCGAACCAGAATCTGACAAGATATTACCATCTGCCGGACACACAACATCCTTGACTGACAGTGACTCGTATCCCTCAGCTTTCCATCTTGCTAGTTTCTTCTCCTCAGCTTTCTTCCTAATCGACTCCATTTTGAGATGCTTCTCCTTAGGTAAAGATCTCTTATTCTGCTCCTCTAACGCAGAGTTATGACATGTCTCTGATGTCTCTTTGAGCTTCTCAACCCAAGAAAGATATGAAGCTTCATCTAGAATGGGCTCAAATTCCTTAGATGATGGGCTTCTTGTAACATAAACATGTTCACTTAATACATTCTCTGAATTGATCTCAACCTTGCCACCCTCTGTTTCTGATCGGCCTCCATGTCGGAATGCTATTACCTTTTCGACAATTGCATTCACTTTTGACCTGTCTAGTTGATCCGAACTCTCTTCGCTTTCGGTGGTGGGATCAAACATACGTAGCCCAAGTACAACAGAACGCAGATCACCAGCTGCAACTCCTACCATATCTTTGCCTTCCTTGTCTGTAGCATCCTCACCCATAACGTCATAGCTCAGTTGCAACTTCCTCTCTGCTCTATGCATGATAACCTGCAATGGATATTATAATAACTGGATGTAAAGCATGTTCAGCTCTATAAGAGATTCCTCCGAATTATGATTCCATGATTTAAAAACTTTTGAGTTCCCTGTATATTCAATTGTTCTATCAATCATGACTGACCTCCTCCACCGTGCGCTCAGTAACTAAATTTATAGATAACACATGGTTCATTTGACCAATTCTATGTGCCCGCTGTAGAGCCTGTTTATCCACCTGTGGATTCCAATCCTGCTCATAAAATATGACCTGCATTTGGCACCATCCTCATTCCTCAGTGAGTCGATAGGACCAAAAGCTAAAAACGTACTTACTTTAATCAGAAGAGAAGAATATACTTGAAATTCCCTTAGAAGTAACTATACAGACAGTTTTACAAACATCATATAATCAATACTAAGGATCCGGTGCATTGTTAAGGCACGCCTGTTGAGTGATTTTTAAATATGAACATTTTCCCTGCCAAGGATCCTTCACATAATCTCATTGTGAGAGGTACAGGACTTGTAATAAATTCTTAAAAGAATAACCTGGAGAGGGTCAGGGTGGGAAGTGACCGATAGATGTGAAGCTATAGCTAGGAAATAAAGAACTGCAGCTATCTTCTTAGGAGGTTACAGATTTTCTTTAACCCAATCAGCATGTAATTTTTGTTTTTTGGCATCCTACAACCAACATTGAAATTATGGAAGGCATAATTCTACCTCTTATCCGGAATAAGACACTCAAGCAGGGGAGCATGGTCAGATAAGCATATAGCACGCCTTCAACTGACAAAAAATCTTAGAAGAGCATGCACAAAGCAGGCAACTTAAATACTAATTAAATACAAACCCTCCTTCAGAAGTTGATAGTTATAAGATTACAAGACTACATAACTATCAGGCACGAGACACCAGCTTTTGCTGTACTTTTGCAATATTAGTTAAGCAAAACTATATACAGGATATGGTAGTTCTCAAAGACTGAGAGAAACATGATATATTACCAAGGAGCAAGAAGAAGATGAAAAACAATGAGAACCAGATGGAGAGAGTGAACACAACAGCAAAATCAAATTCTTAAATCATTGGATGATCCATCTCTATTATCATATCATGTTAACCACACCTACTTTTGGTTTGATACAAATGGATTACACCAAGGATTCAGGCTTGTATATCCTCTAAAAATGTGTTGACACAATGAAAAGTACGTTTGGTGGTGTGAATGCAAGTACAAGTCCCTTGTGGTTGGTAATCTAGGGATGGTTTCTTCATCCGTCCATCATTATTGTCATTGTTAAGTACTTTGTCTTGTGTTTTATACTTCTTTTAGTTCCAGAAAATCAATCATAGTTGATTAATTTCCATCATCTCTTTTTATCATCCTATTCCCACCACAGCACATCTTATGGTGATGTTGTGTTGATCATTGTAAATATTCAGTAGGTGATTTTCTGTGCACTTGCATGCATTGCTTGCGTTTTCATTTTCTCATCATTCATTCACCTAAGCATCTCCTATTGGGTCTCTTAAGGGTCATCATGAATCTCTGAGGACTAATTCATGGATGTACAAAATGACTCTCCACAGTCCGATTTCTGCCATAAATCACAATTGTGCTAGACTATTGGTACTGTTTTGAAGAGCAGTTTATAGCTGTATCAAGATTGTATCTCTCTGCTTTGCTTTAGTTTCATGACGTTTTGAACTCCAAAACACGTGTAACAGCAGGGTATACTTGCTGTCACAGCACCATAGTTGTGGGGACTTCATGACGTGTTCACGGTATAACGGTAGTGATTCCCACCCCACCCACCCCCAACCCGGGTCTGTAATAGATAGCTTCTTATGTATATATTCTTCATAGTATTTGCTTGTCATTTCACATGAATTTATAGTACGTGATACTCCAATTTCACAACTTGTTGCTGTTCAATACTGTAAGTTTCTATATGCCCATGACACATGTCGCACAGCAATACTGCTAAGAATACGTAAACCTAGAAGTCGCACACAAGGAAAGCGTATGCTTCGATATGGTTATTGGATAATCAAATGCCCGAACAATATCAAGCTGGTTATTAATTGTTATTCTCGCACAATAATTAAAGTATGTGTTAAAAGTGTAATTATGATAATTACAGGGTTTTATGTGTAAATGTATTTACATATAATTTTATTATGATTAATAAAATTAAATAAAACCTTTATTTAGGCATAATATGTTTTTCAATAGATGGACCTAAGGTTTTTAATAGAAACCTTATTCTTCTATGTTAAAAAGAACACATACTAGAAACCTAGGGTTTAGAGCTAGCACACGGTTGAGGCCTAAGCATGTTCATGTGTGGATGTGTTGTAGAGGAAACCTACTTTGGTTAATGGTGCCCCTGTCAGATTCTGCTACAAACCCTAAAAGGTAACATCTAAACATCCTATGGTTTGTTTAGATTCAGTTAAATGTGTCATTGGATCTGAAAAGGGTTTCTTTTTGAAAAGTTTTCTAAAAGAAGTAACCTAATTAAATCAATTTTTAATTTCCGCTACATTTTTATAAAGTTACTTATAAACGAAATCCTACAATACCAACATGTCCAGAAAGTAAATCCACATCCTTCATCTATTTTTAGTAGTAACATGAATTGTTTTTCATGTTCTAAGCAAGTATATTGTGTTTCTATAAATTACATTAGCCTACCAACAACTTCTTGATGAGAACGATTCGAGAACCTTTCTAAACGTCTGTCTTCGCAGGGTGATTTGAAAAGGAATATATCTTTCTTGTAGTGCCTTCCATTCCACTATTCTGATCGAGAAAGAATCTCTTCTGAACGACCAAGTCATAATGAGATTAAAAACCGATGCTTCCTTGGCCGTGTGGAACTAAATTAAGTTGGGTGATAAACTTTTTGCACATACAATGACATGCTTATCAATAAAAAATTAATTTGGACACCAAAGGTTCAAATATCAAGACATGAATCCGTTTTTCCTTATCATCATTTCACTCATTCTGCTCCTAGTCTTCTTCCCACCCAAAACGTTCCTACCTTTGACTCTCACTCCCTTCCCCATAGTTCTGTTGATTCTTCACTTGTCCCTTCAACCAATCCAACCTCTACCATGGATACCAGCACAGACTTACTATTACTCAAAGTCATCTTGTTTATCATCCTCCATCCCACACTCTGAGCATCAAATATTTTCTGTGAGGGGATAAACTAGACCTCACAATCCTCCTCCACATCTTCAAGAATATGTGTGTCACCTTTCATCTACATACAGTTCCTTGAACTCAATTGTTTGTTCTCACACGGTCCTACTATCACCTCCTTTTCTCTCTTCAGCATGTAGCTTTAGATCACTTCCTTTACATGATCAGCAGTTACCAAGTGATATCGATAAGATACACAGCCACCTAATTATGAATCATGAGCTACTAATCCAGTTTGGCAGAAAGCTATGACCAAGGAGTTTGAGGCAAATAGCATATGAACAAGGTTTTAGAAAGCGGAATTGGGACTCGAGGCGTTTTCCTTCCACGCCCTGAGGCGTAAGCCTCGAGGCAGTCCGAGGCACAAGCCTCGAGGAGGTCCAAGGCGCAAGCCTCGATGCGTAAAACAAATAAAATTCATAAATATTAATAGTAAGCAAAACATAGGTCCATACCAAACTTTAAATGTCATAGATTCATAAAATACTAGTTATACGTCTAAAAACATACAATCTACAACTTATAGTTCCCCGTAGCATGATCAAGTTGTACAGCTCCACAATCGTATCCATAATCACGATCACTTTCATCTTCCAAATCCACAGAAAACAGAAAAATAATACAGAAAACTGAAAATAATATAAAAAAACAGAAAACAGAAAATAAAATAATAAAGAAAATATACAAAAGAACAAACATAAAACATTATCATATAGACAATACAATATACATGATATAGAACATATATACTTGACTGAAATACATATAAGATAATATAATACATTATACATAAACTAAAAATATCGACACAAACTAAAAAGCACTTACTTTTCGGGTTGGCCTTTGAGATGAATATCTTCTTGAGAGAGGAAAAAGTAAGAAATGGAGAAGAAAAAAATGTTGTTTGGAGAGGCGTGCGCCTCAGAAACGCCTCAACGCCTCAAGACACCGCCTCACCAATTGAAGCTTAAGCCTCGTCCAGGGACCATGAGACACCGCCTCGTGAGCGGTTTTGGGCGCCTCGAGGCGTACACCTCAAACGATTTTGAAAACCATGCATATGAATCGTCACTAATTTCCGTAATGGCAAGAAGCTCGTCAGCTGCAAATTACGAAGTGAAATTGAAAGCCATGCACAAATTGAAAGATGAAAGGTTTGATTGGCCATCAGAAGTTGCACTCAAAAAGAGGGCTTGGACTACCGTAAGGGTATGTTTGATATGATGGAATGGAATGGCAAAAAATGGAACGCACAAGGTAATGGAAAGAGTCATTCAAACAGTTTCTTCTGTTTGTATCAATAAATAAACGAATTGGATTGATTGGTAAATACAATTTTATTATTTTACTTCTAGTCGGTAAATAATTTCATAAAATCATCAAAATTTTATTTACTGAAATAAAAGATCAATAAAATCCTACGATAAGATTATAATAGAAAAAACTGTAGTTATCTTTAAAAACCAAAGAAATTGAATTAAAATTTCAGTATTTTTAGAAAAATTGGTGTTCCCACAAGGGAACGAAAAAAAGACCCCTCCACCAAGGAATAAAAATCAACCAAATAGAAGGAATCAAATTCCTTACGGAATGATTAATTCCATTCCTTCATGAAAAACAAATAAGTATGTCTAATTCAATTCCATCTTCCTTTATTGCATAGCAAAGGCTACATAAACCTTCTTCACCTTTGGTGAAAATGACCATTTGCTTATTGCTACTGTACTTCAAATGGGATAAAATATGCAACCAGATCGACTTGGATGAAGACATTTACACAAATCCCCCTCCTAGGATGGTGCTCTCTAATCCTAACAAGTCTGCAAACTCACTACATAGGCTAAACAAGACTCAAGACACTGATATGCTAAGTTGTCATGGCTCCTAACACCAGGGGTTACCAAAAACTTCAATAACGATTATTATTTATGCTACAAGAGTGGAAGGTTTTGTCATTTGAACTTTGAAGCAGATAACAGATTTAAAGCAACTTTTAGATACAGTGGTCAAATAAAGACTTAGCAACCCCCGTTATTTCTTGGGCACAGAAATCCATAATGAACCTACAGGGACTGAACTTTACTTCAAAGAAATTTAAGATGGATCTACTATTATAGGGAAGGTTCACCGTGTCAGCAGCCACGAGATTCAAGCCAACACCCCCTGCTCTGGTGGAAATCATAAAGACAAATGCACTGTCATGTGATGCTTCAGAATTGGAACTTCCTATGACCGACTGTTGGCTAAAACTCCTTATTGCAGCAAAGCGCTCTTCAGCCCTAATGGATCCATCAAGACGCTCATAAGGATATTTCCTCAACTCCATATAGTCCTGTATTTCAAAATTTCACTCACATAGCTGCCAGTTTTTTTTCATGGGTAAACAACAGAAGGAAAGATACCTGCAATACGTCAAGTGTATGTGTCATCTGTGCAAACAGAAGAACACGATGTCCAGCATTGCGTAGCTTCTGAAGTAGCCGGTCCAAGACTATAAGTTTACCACTTGCCTGAAAGAATCATAAACGAACACAAATCGTGTTACGTAACTCCGAGAGAGCTCATAGAAAGTCAAAAGATACAAATCAACAGAAGTCCATACAAGCTGTTTCCTTGTTTCATAAAAGAGAAGGACAACCAACAAGTGGAATCTACAACACGTTCTCAAGCAGCAGATAAAGCTCGGCCTTCTTACTTTTAACTTGTGAACTTTTTGATTAATCATTCACACATATCCTACAAATGAATCCATAGAGAACATCTTGCAAGATGCTAGACTCGACATAATAAGTTATCGGACATCACAAAGACTCTCTTGGACGATGTGCTGTTATAAATTATAAGAAGTATTGTTAGAAATTAGCAAATCATTTTGTGTGACCAAGCTTGAGATGATAGAAGGCTTATATGGACAGTGAGACCTTGATTTACTTGTGAACTGTTGTTTAGAAGAAGCAGCTTAGTGAAATTCTTTGACCACTGTTTTTCACATTATATTATATGGTTGAAGACACTAGGAAGAGATGCATAGAACCAAAAGGCAAGACACAGCATGGTAGGATTCGGTTGTGGTGGGGGCACTGTGGTGCTGTCGGCATCTTTTCCAGATGGTGATGATGAGATAGTCATCGGTGGACAAGGAATGGTGCCATCACATAGCCGAACAGGTTGTTTGTGACAAGGAACAGTTGAACCATTGTCTTCCAATAGCCATAGTTGTTTGGTGATAAAGTGAAGCCAAACTTGTGGGAGTTATGGGTGGTTTTCTCGGTTGGAGTGAAAGCTGCAACAGTTGTCATTGGACAGAAGGTGAGGCAGCCGTAGGGTAGAAGACGGGTGCGGTAGCTTTAGGGTTGCCTTGTGATGGCAGCGGTAGGGCGGCAGCGGTAGGACGGCAGCGGTAGGGCGGCAGCCGTAGGGCAGCAGCTGTAGGCGTTTAGGGCCGGCTGCGGTATGGCGGCAGCGGTAGGGCAGCAGCCGTAGGGCAGCAGCTGTAGGGCGTTTAGGGCCGGCTATGATACCAAGATAAACTTGGTAATTGTGTGTGTATATATCGATTACAATCAGGGATATATATAAGAGATACATTTACACTCTAGACCCTCTAATATAATTATATATCTATACTATATTATAAAGCATTTGGCTAAAACTCTTAAAAACTCTTAAACTCTTAAAACTCTTAAAGACAACATCTATTGCTAATGGTACAACCTGCTAAAACCATCCCTAAACCCGTTCATCCCTAAACGATTTCATCCTATCTGATTTCATCCATATCCTATTTCATCAAATACAGAATAAACATCTCATTTTAAATATAAAAAATCTAAAATATAATTAGGATAATTATGAATTCTAACAGAATACTTAATTATTATATTTATAAAATTTATAATATTAAACCAAAAATAAATTATTTCATTATTAAACTTAAATTAAATTACAATAAAAAAATAAATTACATAAATTAAATAAAAAATGATAACTTTTAAATAGTTGATTTGATATTAACATTGGTATTTTTTTTTCAAGTTTTTATGATATCTTCACATTTACATTTTTATCATTATTTTTTTATTAAAAACACATAATCTATACTATATTATAAAGYATTTGACAAAAAACTCTTAAAACCCATTTTTTGCATAAAATACTGTTTATTAATGCATATTACTTATTACCTAAGATTACAAGTAGATTGTGCATTAGTACAATTATTAAAGCTCCATATATGAATTCATGTAACTAACTGCAGATAAACATAATCAAATACAGAATAAACATCTCATTTTAAATATAAAAAATYTAAAATATAATTAGGATAATCATTAAGTTCTAACATAATACTTAATTATTTTTATAAAATGTTATATTATTAAACCAAAAATAAACTATTTCATTATTAAACTTAAATTAAATTATAATAAAAAAAAATTAAAGAAATTACATAAAAAGTAAAAACTTTTAAATAGTTGATTTGATATTAAAATTGATATAATTTTTTTCAAATTTTTATGATATCTTCAAATTTATATTTTATTTAAAAATAAAATCATTATTGTTTTGTTTAAAACGCATAAAATCGTATTATAACATCAATAGAGACAAAGAATAAAATAGAACATTAAAATCAAGATGTGTCTCGCTGCATTGCGCGAGTACTCTTCTAGTATATATATATATATATATATATCACTCTTAATTGTCTAATAGTGCTTGGTAAGAAGAATCAATAATTTTGTAATCATTTCAATGTAATCATGAATTCTTAACCAAGGAGCTTGACAAATCAATGAAGCTAGGAGGAGCGGAAATACAATTTAAAGCTGAGTTGATTCTCTCTGTGCTCATCTCATTTTGGTCTCTTTACCTCTTGCAACATCTCATAAATCCCAAATGTTGTGGCCAAAGCTTATTTATTGCTGGACTCATACAAACAAAATCTTAAAACTCCTTCAATGAACCAACAATTTTAACAGTCCAGAGATTCATTGGTTTCCTCTTTAAGCTTCCAAATCATGCAGCAACATTTTAAAATCCTGCATTTGGTAGGTAAGAAAAAAAAAATTGGAGCTTAATACCACATTCTACTACATGTTACGTTTATGCTACCTGAACTAAGTGTTCACCCTCTTCATATGGTTCAGGCTCTATACCAGCAAAGAGGTAAGGATGACTGCATGCTTTACGTAGCTGTATTACCTGCATAAAAGTAGAACCTTATGCAATCAGAAAAACTATTTTCCAAACAGAATGAGTTACCTCCAAATCCCAATCAAGTACATGAAATCAAGAAACACAAATGGTATAATTGGCCACAAATTATACAAAGAAGGAAACAGAACACATGAACATTATAACTTGTTAGATGATATATGGTATAGAAAGTTTAATTCGAGAAAAAACTGTACTGTTGGTAGAATTAACATCCCCAAGAAATATTTTCTTTTATATGTTCAAGTCATGCATAAAAAGCTTGATAGGCATGAAGTTGGCTTACAATATTCTGCAAGGATTGCTGATTAGAAGTCCCAGAAGACAATGCCAGAAGCTTAGGAAGCTCCTTTCTTAATATTGACAAATACACCCTCTTCTGCAAGGTCGCCAAGGGAGCCATCCTACCAAAACAAAGTTGTTGAGCAAGCTGCTTTTACTTGGCAGAATATTCTAGTTAGATTTCCCTTTTCACTTATATTATCAAAGGATAGAGGCTTTCCATTCACTCTGTGGTTTATATATGATTTACCAGTCTAAATACAGTTTATCCGAATTAAAAAGAATAAGATGAGACCCAACAATTTTCAGAAAGAGGAACATGAAATGAAATTGAGCATGAACAAAGGCCATTGTAAGCAACTTACAAGGTGATTTCAGTAAGAGGTGGCAAAGATAGGGTTCCGGTCTCAATAAGCCTAGATTTTGTTCTTCGAAGCATGAATGCCCCCAAAATATATTTTAAGCTTTTGAACTTATCCTTAACTATTGGTGCACCTTTACCTGCTTAAGAAAAAAAAGGTGGAATAGTCAATGAGCAACCACTGATTCGAACACATTATATCACATTGAACATCTTACATAGAAGGATGCATAAGAACAGTATGTTCATAGCATCAGTCCAATCACCCAAGGTATAAATGATTTCACGATAAAATCTAATGCTATGAAACACTTCTCAATTTTGGCAAACTTTATGAAACCCTCGGTCCTCCACCAAAAATCTTTTTGCAAACAATTTTCACAAAACGGGTCTCCAAGGAAACAGTCACTCTACTATTAGGGTAGAGGTCAGGTTTGCATACATCTTGCCCCTCAGACCCCACTTCCGAGTGGGACATACCAAGTGGGTTGGGTTTTAAGTTTTTTTGGGGTTTGGGGAGGAAGAGGGGTTGGGGGCATTCAAGACAAATATCTGATGGCAAGTTGGTCGCTAAAATTCCTTTTGTAGCGAATAATTTGAATCAACCTATTGATATTGGAAGACCCGATGCATTTTTCCAATGTATCATTTCTGGGTCCAATCGAGTCCAGTAGAAACCAAAGATCTTGAGTGACCGATCCAGCATTTGGGGTTTGGTTTGGTTTAGTTTACAAAATCGAATTCTAACAAAATGATGGAAGTCAAACCTGGATAACATCATGGACCATCAACACAATAAGAAATAATGAACAAATATAGCAACGTCTTCTCAAAAAGCTACATATATATCCTCCCAAATCAAACAATTTAGCACAATCAGAAAAGATGGCCAGAAAGAAGTTGTAATACATGGTCTAGAAGTTTAATGGAAGTCCAAACATCCCAGAGTAACTTTAAGCACATGTGACACTAAGAGAAGGCAGATAATAGTACATTATGAAGAGCAGGATGAAACCTGAGAAAGGATCTCCACCTTCCTTGAATGTAGCGCAGAAATGTTCCAGTGTCCCAAAGATTGAAGTCATACAGAATTGCAAGAGTGCCCAGAGTTCAGTAAGGCTATTCTGAATAGGGGTTCCAGTCATGAGTAGACGCCTGGGCATGATATAGTGCTCTCTAAGAACATTATACAAAACCTGGAAAGGATCAAATCATGAAGCGGAAATACACTACAAGGAAATCTACGTAGCTAGGTGTTAACTCAACATATCTGCATGTCTACTTTTGCTGCAGGATAATATATAATAATTAAATATCAGATTAATAATAGACTTCTGAAGCAGTAAATCTTCTAGGGACCAGATATATAACAGAGAAGAAAAGGTACTGAGCCATATATTATACTATGGATGGGCAGCAGAAATAAAAGTATGTCATCTCTTGGGCTATTATTGGAGGTATTCTATGAGATCCAAGAGTATGGTAAGTAAGAAATATCCGAAGAGGATCATTTAACCATAGCAAGAGCACAAAAAATTGAGCGTTTCTTATCACAACCTATTTTTGTAGCAGAAGTATTTACGGAACGGCTGCTTCTTCAGCATATTTTATGCTTGTTAAGATTATTAACCTGATATCTGCAATTTCTTTAAGGAATATAAGTATATAACCATGGTTCAGAATTACAATTTCTGGTTTTGCAACATGTTATAGGAGCGGCATGACACCTGGAGGGTACTAAAAGCCAATCACGTATAAAATAAATGAAGGAATGCGTAAAATAGAAATAAAATGTTCCGGTTACTATTATTGGTTGAAAATGTAATTTCCATCGATTGGTTTGTGTGCATGAAATTTACAATACATAGAGCAGCTGTTCCAAAATCACAGGTTGTATAAAGACAGAATCAAAACTGGTCCTAGATTTAAGCTATACATATGAAATTAGTTGTACAATTGCTACAGATCATTTTCCTTAATATTATCCCAATGTATCACTATAAATGAAACAATAGATATAACATGCTCCTTCGCAGTGGTAAATTAAATTAACTAGAATAATCTTAAACCTACACTGGAAGGATTTTTAAGTCTTTGCGCCTCATCAATAACAGCATAATACCAAGGGATCTGACAAAGGAAGTCCTGATCAATTAATGCTATATCATATGTTGTAAGGAGCACGTCAAAAGGTAAGGACTGAACCTGCATTATTTAACATGTAAGCATATGCATCCAGGTCAACAAAAATTTGTTCCGCTACCTACTGGTAAGCTGGTAAGCAGGTGCAGCCAGAAGAGGTACTTACATTGGGCGATGATGATTGTTTTTCCACATGTTCATACATTTCCCTTCTCAAAGCACGTCTGTATTGTTTGTCTCCAACATAACGTAGAACCTTTAACTTTGGGGCGAATTTGGTTACCTCGGATACCCAGCCATCAGTCACACTGAGAGGACACAGTATCACTGCAGAAGACATGATATGTTTAAGAACGTAATAATGATCAAAACATGTTATATTATAATTGGCAAAACAGTTTTCCATTGCTCACAGAAGGGTCCGTGTAAGCCTTGACAAAACTTTAAATAACTCAGGAAGGCGATAGCTTGCAAAGTCTTTCCAAGCCCCATCTGCCAATAGCAATTAAATGGCTGAGCACAAGAACTTAATAACATGGCATGGCAGAGTCAAAAGGTTATCTCATACATGCTTTAAGCTCCTAATATTTAGAGATCAATCAAGATTAAGAAAAGCATTGTTCATTAACGAGAAAGCTTAAAGCACGTCCCAAATTAGAAAATTGAATATGAAGAAAAAGAAAAGGTTTTCAGCTGCACCACACCTTAACTGGAGTTATCATAGTTAACCAACGTCCTATAAGCAGCCTCAAACATCACTTTTGAATATCAAGAAAGCATTTTAGTACAATTGTGTTATATTTTACGGATATAGCTTAAATTTTGATGGTAAAGATGAGAACAATAAGATGTTACCCACAAATGAGACATACTTCATCAGTGAATCACTAAATAGAAACTTCATTAAAATTGTTTTATTCCAGCCAATTCTACCAGTTGGGATAGTAACAACATACGGATAGAAACAGAGATTCAGTAGCAAAAAATAGAGAAGGCAATGAACTGAACTAAAATGTACTTTAGAATCTTGGAACATCAAGAATTCATCCTAGAACATAAAATGGAGCAACTCCTCAGATAATCAGAGCTCAGATATAGAACATGATCTATGTTATTGTTGTAGTTGTCGATTCAACAATTATAATGTAACTAAAAAAAATCGATCACAACTTTGCGGGCTTCCAGTTTCCAGGTACAAATGCAACTATACCTCATCTCCTGCAAAAACAGATGAAACAACCAAAATCACCACAATTCTTGTAAATTCAAACGGTCTTGAAAAAGTAAATCCCTTACCGAGAATAACGTTAACACCGGTAAGGTATCTTCGTATAAGCCATGAAAGTCCTTCGATTTGGTGAGGCTTAAGCGTGGCGTTTACACCTATATCGGAGCAGTTGACTTGAGCCTCCGCGGCCGCGCGTGTGTCTCCGTCGAAAACGTACTTCGCGGCGGCGATTAACCTTTGCTCGTAGTCCATTTTCTTGAGATGTGGCGCAAAACGCTACTGAATTTGAATTTTGGTGAAAAGTATATATTCTTTGATGAAATTACCCTTTTCAAATCACGAAATTTACAGAACGTGAAGCGTAGTTCGGAAGATTAAAAAGGTTGTTTCTGTAATCTTGCACTTCTATCGCGGCTGTAACTTGGGAGAAACGTGGCTTCCAAATGATTCCAGTTATACACGTGGCAACTTTTATGTATAGTAATTGAGAAAATTCTTTTAAAAAGACTCGAACCACTTTCTTCCTGAACAAGATTCAGGGGTGTTTGGGATTTGTTTATTTAAAACAACCTGTATTTTTTAACAAAAGTTTTTATTAATTTATTATGGGGAAAAGTAAAAAAAATAATAATAAATTTTACTGTTTAAAACGATTAAGTTATTGGATAATTTTTTGGAACAAATAAAACTTTGGATATTCTAAAACTTGTTAAATAAGTCATTGGACATTACAAAACACATTAGACATTACAAAATCTGTTAAATAAGTCCTTGGACTTTCTAAAATCTGTTAAATACATTTTGTTAGTGGAAAAAATCCGAAAAAACCAATAGACTTTCATATATTGAACGATCAAATCCTTAAATATTTTTTGAACGAAAAAAATATTTATATTTATAAATTAAAAAAAAACAAATATACCATTCTAGTATGAGTGTAGTTCACCTCTTTTTGGGGGAAAAGTAATTGTATCATGCCTTGGGTGATTCACTTTAAATGATGTTAACACGTGCACATTACTTGATGTTGGTTGTGGGTTTGGTAGCTTTGGGGCTCATTTGCTCTCACTAAGTATTGACAGATACTCCACTTCCCAATGTTCCACAATCCTATTCCATGTGACTAGTGTAAAAGTATTGTTCTTTTCTTCCTAACAAAGATTTTCATGGATCAGATAGATTGTTGCTTATTGAAGCTGACCGAATACTTAAGCCTGAAGGTTAAGAAAGTAGGTGTTGTAGCTAGGTGAGGACTTCGGGTACAAATTTGGCTACAAGTTAAGAAGCAAATGAAGATAGGCTACCCATTTCGTGATTGATGCTAAATCAGAAGCAAAGTGAAAAGAATGTAAAAGTGTAATCATATGATTGAACAATTTTGGAGCAAACCTGATTAGACGAGCGGAGACAGGGGTGGCGACGGGGTGGTGCGGCGGCGATGAGCCGAGACAGGGGTGGTGCGGCGGCGATGGGGGAGAGGGAGACGAGAAGGAGACTGGAGGGAACGATGATGAAAACGGGAGGGAACGGTGATGAAGACTGACGAGAGGGAGAAGATGAGTAGTCATCCTTTTTAGGATTTTTTTAGTTTTTTTTTTTTAATTTAAGATTTTACCTTCTATTCAGGTTGCAAGTTACATTTTTAAAGAATGAGGATCTATTTAACATGTTTTAAAAGGTCTAAAGAGTTATTTAATAGATTCTAAAATGTTCAAAGATTTATTTGTTCCAAAAAATTGTTAAATGACTTAATTGTTCCAAACAATAAAGTCCATTGGATTTATTTGAACTTTTTTCTTTATTATAAGTTAGAAAGGTTTAACTTTATCAAAAAATTATTATTATTGGTTTGGCACCGGTATAAGTTGTTTATCCAAAAACTCAAAAGTGTTTATTACCGGTAACACACCGGAATAAGTCAATAAGTTATTTTTATAAGCAATCTCAAGCACCCCCTTAAACGGAAAAAAATAGTTTAATTGTTTTCAAACAATACGTTATTCAAACTTTTGGTTATCTCTTGTCGTCTAATCATCATTCACGTGTTATTACTGGTTATCATCGCCGTTGGCTTCTGTCATCGATTTTCTTTTTTATTGTATATTTTTTGTTTTTTTTATTGCCCATCTTTTTTATGTTTATATATATGCTTTATTAAATTATTATAAAATATAAATAATCAAAAGAAAAAAAAAATAGATTAAAAAAGAGGGATATAATGGCAGGGCCAACGAACGGTTGACGGTATGGAGAATGGACAACAATGGGGAGACAAGAAGTGGCGAGTGGGAACGATATCGTTGTATGTGAGGGGTTTAAATGGCAGCGGGTTTGAGAACCGGAAAATTAATTAAAGTTTTTTTTTTACTTTAAAACCATCCTAGTCTATGGTTACAAGTAGTTTTTTAGGGTAAAAGAATGTATGTAATCAATTTTAAAAATTCGATAGTTTATTTTAAGAAAAATATTCATGAACTATTAAAATGAGAAAGTTCAATAGTTTTTTTCATTTAAAAAAAAATAACTCAGTGATTTAATCATTCACAAACGGGAAAGTTCCCTGAGAGTTTCGTATCAATTTGTGGACACCTCAAGTGACTAACGAGGTCCTAAAGATAACAGTCACAAAAATTTTCAATATTTTTAAAAAGACTTGAATTAACGATCTAGGGAGAAAATGTTGCTTTTTGGACCCCTCTAATATTCATTAGATTGAAAATGTAGAAGTAAAAATTGATGTTAATCGGCGTAAGAGAAAATCAGTAAGGAGGGTTTTAAAGAAAACATAAAAGATTTTCTTAAAGTCACCTAAGGGGCCGTTTACCTAATCACTTTACCCGGTAAGTGCTTACCCGTGAAATTCAACACTATTGTTTACTTACCGGATATGATTTTAGTCCACGAAAACTACATCGTATGGAACAATTTACCCGGTAAGCACTAACCGTGGTAAAAGTTGTCACTCTCACTTACCGGGTAAGACTTTTGGTCATTGTTTTGCTCTTATCGAGTAAAGTTCTTAGTCTTTACCATATTCATCTGGTAAGGTAACGTCAATTGATAAGTGCTTACTTGAGTAAGCGTTCGGTAAACGGCCCCTAAAAGTCATGTTCAACACGACAAAATTGAATTATAAAATTGGAATCGGGCTAAAACAGACTAAAACCGTTTATGTTCGGTTTAAATATCGTATATAAAGGTTTTTTTTTTAACCGATTTTTTCCGGATCATTGGTGTCCAACTCAAAACAGACTGAAACCGTTTACATTGGTTCATTTTTTGATTCCATCTTTTTTATTTTATGGGTTCGGGTTCCGTTAGGTCCATTCTAGTTCTAACCCCGATATAAAAACTGATGTCAACCATCTGTAATTACCGGATCATTCATTATTAAAGCAAAAGATCTTGAATTTCATTATGTTAAAAATTATATTTCGACTTCAGTAACAAAGACTTTGTTTGTCATCACTAATTATCCATTACCGACCATATTGACAAGCCATGTTCTTGCCTTCTGTCATTAAACAAAGTTTAGGTGGGATTGTTCCCTTTCGAGTTTAATTTTTCATTTTATTCTTTGTTTCTGTCGATTTTATAATATGGTTTTGTATATTTTTGATAAAACGATAAATTTTTAATATTTGAATAAAATATAAATTTGAAGACCCCATAGAAATTATATATATATTGTAACACCCTAAAAAATAGTCTAAACCGAAAATATCTAACGAGAACCAGAATCTTAGATAAAAAAAAAGATTTCACCCAACAAAAGTAATAGTATAGCGTTTACAATTCCGCTACTGAGAAGATAAATAACAACCTACAAATCTAGATTTTTTTTTCTAGATTAAAGACGGGTATTTCTATCAATCTCCAAAATGCCGTAACATCAAAAACGCAACGTTCAAAAGTAACAAGGCTATAATTACAAAAGAGTCTTTCACGAACCAACGCTCCTCTCAACCCTTTAGAGCCCCACCGTTAAAGGAACCTAAAAAATAATTATAACAAAAAAAAGAGGGTCAGACTTACGTCTAGTGAGTCCAAACAAAAGAGTTTATGTAAACATAAAGGAACATATATAAAAATATACATGCAAATAGTTGACGTAACTTTAAACAGGAATAGAGACAGTAAGACCTGAATAACTCGAAGTGGAACAATAAAACATCCGAAGATGACGGGGGAGACCCGATTTACCGTTGATTATGACARAYACAAAGTAAGTCATAGATCAACGTTATAGAGCATCACTCACAGGTTTAATACCATCGACATCAACCTAAACCAGTCATGTAGTCGGCCGTGATATTAAGCTCTTTACCTCGGTAATTACACAATAATCACAATGCCTATTACCGAGTGAAAGTGAGAGGATGATTTGGTGATTACATAATAATCACAATGCCTAACACCAACTTACACCATCATTTCCACGAATAAAATAAAACGATATACATGCACTATATAAATATAAATAATGACGTAGTATCATACGATATTTATATATATAGAAAATGAGTCATAAATAATACGTGGGAGTGTCAAGACATCCGAAGATGACGGGGGAGTCCCGATTTACCATTAATTATGACGGAGCACAAAGTAAGTCATAGATTAACGTTATAGAGCATCACTTACCGGTATAAAACCATCGACATCAACCTAAACCAATCATGTAGTCGGTCGTGAT